GACCCCCGTCCGCTGTGGGGGGGGGGGGGGGGGGGGTTGTGTAGTTGCAACAATCTTCCTGTCCTAGTGCAATAGCAATTACCTGAAGGAAGTAAACCCTGAAAAAAGAAAACTACCGTGACTCAAACACCACATCGAAGTACTGAAAAGCTGCAATACAAACAGCTGCAATTGTTCTTAGGTTTAAATACACTTTAATGTTACAATTTATCTGCAGAACTAACATTACAGAAAAATGACTTACTTTCTGCGAAGATGAAATCCAAGTGATGCAGGAGACACAGGAAGCAATGGAAAAGAATGAGAAAGAGTTAGTCTCTATAAATTCAGAAATATGTTATACAGAATAATTCATAAGACAATATAGATTAAGTCATTTCTGCCATCCCTTGAGAGAAACCTTATTTTCTGGGCCATTTGAACTATATATGTTCAATGTGTTTAGGGCCACAGCAAATGGACGTTGGTCACAGGTTCAGCAGCGCAAGATTAATCATAACTCTTATTATCACACAGAAAGCAAAGAGGTGAGGTGTAACCATTCAGTAATAAAGCTGCAATTGTCCAATGTGTGGCTTTAAAAAATGTTTAGTGTAAGGCTGGTCATACATTGCTAATTTTTACGGACTGCAGCTCATAGGCTGCAGTTACTGTTCAGGCTGAGAATTTTAGAATCGTATCCTTAAACGTCAATTGAAAGACCAACTTTCATTGTACAGAGAGGTGCTGATGGAGCCACATACTCCTTAAATTTTGGAGTCAGCAAGGCTCAGCCAAAATTCAATCAGTGTAAAGCCAGCTTAACAGTCCCCATAGTTGTAATTGTCCTGGTGTGTGACTTTTAAGAACTTGTTTTTTTAAATAACTCAAAGAATTTGCTGCAAAGGACTCAGGATATAACAGCATATTAGAGCAATATACCATCTTATGGCAAAAATAAAAGTTATATAATATATAATGAGTGCTATATTGTTTTTTAGTGTTGTCAGTCTAACAAATGTGGACATGCATACATGATGGGAGAAGCGCAGGGATAACTTTCAATTAACATTATCCTACAAGCTGTAAGAGCTAGTCCCTATTCGCAAATATCTGGATTGGCCGATCCTCAGCATTAGCTTTGGAGGCCGTGGCTGGATTCCACTGGACTGGATGACTGTAGGGCAAGCCTGGCATGTGACCTTCGAGCACTGGGCCTTGCATTGTGGTGCCTCTAGTGTGACCTGGACTCACTTTGCGAGTAAGCTGTATAGGCTCAATACAGGGAGCTACCTCATGATTAAGATTGCTGAGCACCACTTTAACCCCTATATTTTATTTCCTTGGTTTACCACAGCAAGGGTTAATGCTCAGGGACTGACATTAATGTAATCCCTTTCAGCGCAAGATAACACATCCTCGCCACTGCTCCGTTCGCAAGTGAAACAAAGGTCCTTCTCAGTTTGTCTTTAATGCCCTCCTACAGTGAACGTAGTCACCTCAAGCTTTCAAACCCTTTCCTGCTACCAGCAGCTGGTTTGAAACTATTCAAAACTTAGCCTTGTGCTTTACTTTTCCTGCAGTGCAGCTCAACATGATATATCTCAGACAGACTGGAAGCAGTCGCACTGTATTGTGCCCTTCCAGCTCAAGATCCCCTAACAACTCCAGTACTGCATGTAGTGCACCTGCTCGAGGGCCTGACACTGAGTCTGGAATGTTGTCCACTGCTAACATCTCTGTCCGGGAGGATTTTACTACAGTTATGCAAGATTTTATGTGCCAAATTGCAACCTAGTATGCCGACTCTGCCCGAAGGTCATAAGCAAGCCTTCACACCTTCCCCTGAAGAACCTGCCTTTTGCTTTAGAGGCCACCGAGTCTCCTGCCGGAAAGTCTCTGTCTGATGACAGGTCTCAGAAATCCCAGGTTTAGAGAGGCAATTTCAGCTGTGTGCAACACTATGTAACTGGAATATGAGCTTTTAAGGATCCCATCAATAAACCCTTTGACATTCTTTTCAAAATGTTGTTTTTGGCTGTCAATGCATTGTAACCTACCCCGGCTGTGATGCTAGTCTGTCAAGCCTAAGAGGACTCGACGAGGGCCATAAGAAAATATGCTGCTTTCTTTGAAATAGATCCTGTTTGTGGAACCTTTTGAGCTTTTGCCAGCAGCCCAGAGCTATTACATGGACAGGTTAGTGAATATCTCCTGTCTTATAGCCCACATTAGCTTCCTGTCAATGAACACAAGGAGGGTCTCAATGGCTTAAAAGTTGGACTGCGAAAAAAGGGGTTCATAAAACATTAACATCTCTTTGGCACTAACCTGGACACCGTCAAAAAAGATGTCATTAGGGTAAGAGAACTAATATTTCCCAACATAAGAAACCTAGACCACAAATCTGAGGCCAAGGAGATGTACAATCTTTAGACCCAGCCCTCACCCTCCAAAGCCAAAGCAAAGCAAAGCCAGGTGTCCAGATCAGTTGCAAACTTTGGGATTCCAAATGTCCTTCCAAAGTGAGGGACATTTGGTATCCTTTACAGACAGCATCTCAGATACCCGGGTACGAGAGGTGGTTTCCAGGTGGTACAAGCAAGAGTTCCGCCCCTTTCCCGCTTCATGATTCATGACTTCCAACCTGCCTGTGTCACCCACAAATTAGCAGATACCCATTCAGCCCTTTCAGATCTACTGGATCAAGGGGTTATTACCCTAGTTCCTACTGCAGGGAAATTTTAGGTGTTTTACTTCAACCTTTTCCCAGTTCCCAAAAGGGGATATCCACCCCATTCCTGATCTCAAGGCCCTAAATGTCTTCATTCGGGTTAAAAAAAAAAAAGGTTTGTCTTTAGGTACAGAGATTCCCTAGCAGAAGCAGTAGATGATCTAGTGGCTCTGTATAAGTACAGTCTAATCAACGACTTTGCTCCCCTAAAACTCCTCCTCTGTATGCTCCACAGGTTCGAGATGGAGGGCTTTATGGTATTACGCATAGCTCTGGATTGGGCCAGGGACATGTTGTATGCTGACCTGATCAAACCCCTGGAAGATGCTCTGGGGCTCTTGCAGACTGTGAGGATTTCTGTCTGGAGGACCAATTTACCATCCTGCTTCACAGTTACTGGAGTTACTGGGCATGGCTATTGAAAGCCAAGTCTTAAGGGACAGGGTTATCGCTGAATCAGTGTTAAAGGCCAGGAACCTTAATTCCCACAAGGTCTACCACTGCGTGATAAAGGCATGCTTCCCAGGCAATACTCCGGGGAGTCCTCACTCATATACAATCAGGTCCAAATTAACAGCTGGCGCTGAGTACCATTAGGGTCAGATTTCGACAATTGTGTTCTTATTCCAGAGACTGATGGCTTACAATTGTTTGATTAAAATCTTTGTTCAGGGTGTCCCTCATGTAGTACACAGGGGGACTGTGTGTTTACCCAAAGCTCCATGGGATCTGAATTTCATTCTCCTAACACTTTAATGACGGACGTTTAAATATTTCCACTATTACTCACAAGGTTGCTTTCTTTGTCACCACCCCTCTGCATGTTTCGCAGCTGGTGGCTTTGTCCTCTAGGTAGCAGTATAACCCAAATGCCACTGAATCCTGTATTCCTCAATGACATTTAAAAAAGTATTTCTAATAAACTAACAGACCTTCCGTTCTCACTGTTAGACCTTGATGAACGCTTCTAATGAAGAAATATTCTTAGGCTGTCTTAGGCACTGCAAGTGTGATATCTACCAAAAGATTTTAATAACCGATTTTAGGTACATTCAACAGGGGTGTGGAATTCCTATCGGCTGACGCCTGGAACATGTAGTTTTTATTTCTACATTTAGCCCCATGCTTCGGGCAAGCAGGACTAAATATAGAGCGGGGGAGCCGTTTTGTACAAGTTATTCGAGCGGCTATACAGCCACTCAGATAACGTGTATGCAGCCTTCTTGTCTGCCCTTCATGGTCCTCCCCCCTCTATGCTCCATCACCCCCGCCAGCCGCCTCCCTCTGTGCCGTGGTTATCACTGTCCCCTGCTGTTTTGGGGCACCCTGAACCACGGCAAATGCCTTCATCATGGAGAGCGAGGAGCATTAAAAGGTTAGGTTCACTTTTCCAAGTAATTTGAGAAAATGTAATTACCTGCTCGAATCTGGCCCCAGCCCTGCACTATGGATTTTGAATTTCACTCGCAAATTGTGAGCACTCATTGGTCAGCATGGTCACTTCACTGCGCTGACCAATGAGAAGCGTTCCTTAGCACAGTTAAAAACAATTCTGTATTGTGACAAGTAAATTGTCATGAGGGACAAGTAAATTAGGCCCTGCTTAAGTCATTGGACAAGTAGTTTTTTTTTATTTCCACACCCGATTCAACAAATACTATAGTAGAAAATATATTTTAAAAAAGGAGCTGTGCTTTCACTTTCAGTGAAGTTGACTTTTAAATATACTCCTCTACCCCCAATGGACTCATGGTGGCCCCCGCCACCCGGAAGAGTACGGAAAATCCATAGGAATGAATGGGGTGGCAGGGAACATGCGCATTAGGCACATGACAAGATGTATTTATTTTATTGGTTGCCCAGAGTCTAGCAGGGTCGCACAGTGCAGAAGAGTCCCTGCTGAGATTTATAGAGCTTCTCTGAAAATCCTGGCCAGGACTTCCAGAATACCTGCCAGTACCTCTAAAATACTCACAAGAGCCCTGCCAGCACTTCTAATAGCACTCACAGAAGCCAGGCCAGTCCAGAATGCCCTGAAATCATTGCTAGGTGTGTTTCCTCTAATCCAGAGGGGTATTTAACCATCAGCTGGCTGGTGCTGTGTCTTGAAACCAGCTACCCTGTTCGTGCAAAGAGCTATAATACAGAAGTTGTTCCCATTTGTGGACTTGGACCGCCTGACCTGACCTCTGCCTGGACCCGTTTACACTCTCATTTCCTGCCTTTCCTACCGATTAACTTGTTGACACAGACTGCCCTACTATTCTCTGCTTGCCGCCTGTCTCGACTTCTGCCTGGACCCCACAACACTCTTGTCTCCTGTATTATGGCTGCGGAGCCTGACCACACTCTGGTCTACTGTCTCCACAATGGAGCCTTCCTGTCCTTGGCAGGGTGATCCTGAGGACTGCGATCTGGTACCAGCAAGCAGCGAAACCCATCTCCACCATTAGGAACTCTGGGGGAAAATCAGCTGGTGCTCATACTCTGTGCCTTGGATGAGCCTGTGTCACCAGCCAGGGGGTGTCGCCATAAGAGAGGTTTATTTCAAAGGACAAATTCACTAAAGGTAAGTCTGATATTATAAATCTAGTAATCTGTATGCCAGAAAATCTTAGAGTTAGGTTTTTATGTTACTGCTCTGAATGGATGTTCAATTTCTGTATAATTCAAGTGTTTAATTACCTTCATTAAATGACACACACTTTCAAAGCATGCCCCTCAGTAGATCATGTTTAACATTAAATATTCATCTTTATATAGAATAACTCCCTGCACAGTAGGAGTGTTTGAGCAGCTTGCTTAACTATCTTTGCCAATATACTCCTAATTTTGCCAACATGTACATTATCCTAGGGGATTTATGCTGCTGAATCTATTTGGAAATGTAAAAATATTTAATCTTGCGTCTTTGGAGACTTTTTCCCTCAAGTGCATTTTCCTAAATACATATATGAGAAAGTTTATTATATGAACCACTCCTGATGTGAAAGATGGGAAATGGGTCAGCGCTGGTCCTTTATTTCCCAATTTAACCTTTACTAAAAAAGGGACGGTTAGAATCCTCCATTTCATATACTGCTGATAAATAATTACGATGGAAAAAAATGTCTATAGCAGGACAGTTCCCTTTCACACGAGCATCATCAATTCAGTCGAGATTCACGGATGCAAAAAAACCTGATGAAAACTGAATCAGTTTACATCATTTTGCACATCCGTTGTCAGTTGTGTTTACATAATTTTTTTATATGTCTGTAGTATGGTGAATTCCCATGATTCTTTGCTTTACTCCAACATGCATTGAGCTTGCCATGCTGTTTTACACAACGCAACCTAAACTGATGGTTAGATCAGTCCCAGTCTGTCAAAATGGAGAGCTAATCCGTCTCAAATTGCGGACCTCAACTGACACTGATGTTTCCTAATGTATACTAATGGTCATCAGCAGGGCTTGAAAAATTTGGCGGTGTCTCACCAGTCAGTCAAAAATTTCACCAGTCAGCATGACCTGACTATAGCCTTGCAATATATGTTAAACATTTTTGGGGACAGATAGAGGTCTCTTTTGTGACCCCACGGGGGGGTTATTTTTTTTTAATATATAATGAAAAAAGTACCATAAATATATAAAAAAAAAAGTTTCCCTATGTTATAAAACATTTATTCTTACCCATATTTTTAGTAAAACATAAAAGTCGGGGTCACGTCGGGTAAATAGACACCAAACATGTCAAGCCTTAAAACTGCGTGCGCAAAAAACGCCCATACGCGACGATTAAAATGCTTTTACTGCTCATCACTTTAGTGTTATCAGTGATTAATGGCTCTAGAATTATTGCTCTCAACGAACACGGCAGTCACAGATGCTGATACAAGTGATCAAGCGTCTATAGAGACGCTCGATCGCTTGACTGTGTTAAGCTCCACCGTCTGCTCGTCACAGACGAGTGGACGAGTGGATTTTTCGAGCCCTGGTCATCAGTTTTCATCCGCAATGCCATAGAGATGCATTGTTGTTTGTTTTTCATCTGCAAATGGAGGGTTGGAAACCTGACAATCTGAACACCCGTGTGAAAAGGGCCTAATGCAGTCATAGAAAAAATTTAGCTACCAACATTATGGTGACTATTGGTAGCTCTGTCTGCTCAACTGCATTGTATTATGATGATGCCCAAAGTGGGTACATTGCATAATACATTCCAAATTTAATAATACATGTATTTTATGTTAAATTAGTGTTTTGATAGTGTTTTGCTGTGGTAGTCACCAAAAGAAAATCCCTTGCTCCCCATTTACTCTGCTACCATAAACACATACAGCCTCAGTCGCATCCCTTCTGACCAGGATTTCTGCAAGTTCAAGCTGCTGCACATGCTGACACATGGAAGAAGTCTCATATGACATTTAACATGAGAATGTACACCTCCACTACAGAAGCCATTGGTTGATATTTCCAGCACATACTGACCATCTGATTTTTTTAAATGATCAATGAAAATGTTTACACAGTTTGAGCCCTCCAACCTCCCCTAATAGGTCATAACACAGGTACTACTCTTTCATTCACAGTTGGATTTTCCCCAATTATTAGTGTGTCACCATTGACAGGCTTTATAGTAACCAAAGCAACCTGGTAGGGCTGCAGCTAACGATTATTTTCTTAATCGATTAGTTACCCGATTATTTTTTCAACTAATGATGATGATGAATGATAATGAATGATGATGATGATAATAATAGTTGCCAACTATTCTCATAATTGATTATTATCAATTTAGTCGATTAGTTGTTGCAGCTCTACAAGCTGGCACAATTGGGAATTTTGATGTTAGTATCTCATCACCAAAGTCTCCAAAAGCAATATCCAAATAAACTTGGCACAAGCTACACGATGATACACAGCATCAGTTTTGGGTGGGGTTGGCTTTAAATTATTGCTTTTTCTTAAAATAAATAGTCATCATCTTAGTTCACAACTGCATGTGGTTATTTTTCAAACAACAGGCCAGAGAGCTTTATTACAGAGTTCTATACAACATTGACCCCATACAATAACCCGCTGTTTAGTCAGCAAGCCAAGATTAATAAGAAATTATGCTAATTTCCTGAAGAACACATAACATGAGATGAGAAGAACAAGCAAGATGTGTACTCATAACAACCTTTCCTGATGTACTGCACATTGTTATTGACCTTATGTCCATGGCAGCCACCCAACATTTTGGTTATGAAAATATTCTGCTCACTGTGATGCCATTGATATGTACAATTCTTTCTGTGCTAGTCAGAACTTTAGACTTTTAAACATGAAACATAAACGATGTATGTGGCATGCTGTACACACCTGGTTTCTTTTAGGCCTTCTTTCTGGATGACTTCCAAGATCTGTTTTGCGGTCATTGGTGAATTGGGATGTTTTTCTAAAGCCTGAAGAATAAAGGGAAATTACTGTTAGTAACTGTAACTCTGATCATAAAAGCTGAACATTACTTTAGAGCTAAAGTATTTTTTAATCTACGAGTGTTTAAAGCAAACCGATTGGCTAACTCCATAATATAATTTAACACTGGACTGTAAAAGCAGGCAACCATAGATGCCTAAATGTAAATCTATCATTCTTTCGGAGCACTGAAGAAGCACCAACACCCTAAGTCTAAATCGGACATGGGACCTCCCTTCTTTGAGGTTAGGGCCCTGACAAGCTAGCCCCATCTCCAAACAACCCAATGTGTTGAGCGCATACAGAACTTAAACCTCAGAGATCCTTTGCCTATCGAGCTTCCAGGAATTTAGAGCCCTCATGGTGCTCTACAATCTTGATAAATATATTCACAAGTACGTATTGGTGCAATTTGACCAAATGTATAATTTTATTGCAGAAAAACAAACGTATCTGATTTGCTACCTCAAAATTTTTTAATCAGCTGCTAAAACTGTTTAGAAGCAATGCTGAAATGATATATAGGAGGTTCTACAAGGCGGAGGACATCTGCCTGAAGTTCTCAATTTTCATGGCTTCCATTTTATTCTAGGTTTTCAGTGTTTTTGGTTTAAGAGTGCTTGCTGATCAGTGTAGTAAACTCGCTTAAGGCTTATTTTTCCAATACAGGGAACAGAAGAAGACTTCTGTGAGTTAAAATGTGATCATAGATTTGACAGTGCATATACGATCCATCCATCTTCAGTGCAAGCCATCTACAGTGCAGAAGTAGGCAGCAAGAGAGTAGTGTAGAATTATCAAGAATAATTGATTTTCAAAATGCCTGATCTACTGCTTCCCAGGGCAGATTGTTGCTGAACTGGGTGACTCATCTTGAGTCTTTCGTTATATGTAGATTCAGTTTCTAATGAACAATATGACAATATGCAGCTTTTAAAGCGGTTATCTAAGCATATATTGGGAAGTCCGGAAACATCCAATAGAAGTTAGATAGCAACCAGGTAAAGCAGTAGAAGTACCATATAGTTTTTGGTGGCTGCAACAGAAGGAGTGCTGGGAAGCAACAGAAAAGCATAACTGGGTCAGGAAGTGGCCTTTATGGTTAAATCTGTTTACAGAAAGTGGCCTTTAAAAAGAACCTCTTATTTTGCCCTAAATGGGCAGGGTATTTTTAATTAAGCAAATAAAAACAAAAATATTCTAATGATCAAATTACACATGGAGATTGACTCAAAATAATTAACTGAAATAGAAACAGCCGTGTAGAGGGAACATTTGGGAAAACAAAACCATACTAAGGAGGGGCTGCAGTAGATGTGCTGGTTTAACCTTCATAGCTCACAACATGGCAAAAGTAATTATCATGTATTACCAAGGTCTCCCCCAAGCAGAATTTTCACAGCATAAAGGTGTTTTCAGATGTGCTATCCAAGCTGTTTAACAGAAGCACAAACAAACTGGCAAGGCTGAGGAATGGAAACACAATAGTTGGCAATGCATCAAGCTTACTTCCCTTTGCAAGCATGTCCAGTACCATTATTAGATCAGAACTGGCAGAAACCATTGGGACTGTAATACACCTTTCTATATTCCTGAGAAGTATCAGCAGAAGTGGTCAAGGCAAATGACTTATGATGAAAAAACAAGGACTGGGGAGGAAGAAATAAAGCCCAAGAGTTTCAGCCTGATACTTATCCATTATGAATACCATCAGGGAGGCATCTGATGACTCCTAACATCATTTTGCAGCAGGACAATAGCTTCAGACACATGGTCAAAATCATAAAGAATTATTTAAAGCAATCTAAACATCACAAAGTCAGCCTGGGATTACCTCGAAAGACAGAAACAAGTAAGACAGCCAAGGTCTGCTGTGGAACTGTGGCAAGTATTTAAAGCAGGACTGGACAAATCCTAGGAGCCAGGTCAGGGCTGGAAAATCCCAGGAGTCAGGCTGGCAATGCTCCGTAAAAATTACAGCTGGCGCTCAACATTTGAGGTTCTCTATTTGTTGTCAATGGAGCTGGCTCCTAAACAAATAATGCTGGCTCCTGGATTGAACAGACTGGCTCCGGAATTTCATAATTTGTCCACCCCTGATTTAAAAGGAGAACTATGGGGTCAGGGCTTTTCCCCATAGTTCTCCTTAGGGTAACGGGAGGACACAAACTAGCGTCCTCCCGTTACCCTAAGCTCAGTATACCGCGAGCTACGGCGCGCGGTATACTGAGACGCCGGAGCGGATCCCGACATCGATGTCGAGATCCGCCCAGCTGCGTGAGTGACAGCTGGCTCTGCCTATCTAGAGGCAGAGCCAGCTGTACCCGCCCCCTCCCCCGTCCGTTCTGCCAATGAGCGCTGGAGGATCGGAGCGGGGGAATCCAGCCCCTCCCCTGTCACGGCAGAGAGCCGTGACAGGATCGAGAGGTGAGCGAACGCCGGTATCTGTTCGCTCACCTCCCGATCTACTGAGCCGACCTGTGAGAGTCTCATTGTCACAGGTCGGCTAGAACTATGAGGTGAGTGGAAATCACTCATCTCATAGTTCTCCTTTAAAGGATGCTTGGAACAACCTACCACATTAGTTTCTTTAGAAAGAGCATGCCTAGTGTACCTTAGAGAATTATTGCCGTGTTAGAAGCAAAGGGCAGTTAGAGAAAATATTGATTTCATTTGTTTCATTCTATTTACGGCGCTTTTTGGAAAGCATGTTGATTAATAAAAACAACTCAAGGCATTATTTTAGAAAGCATTCCTCAGTACTTGCTAGTAACTGCTACTGTCACTTCTGAAAAATTCAAAATAATTCAAAGCGTGCAGGGCTTTACTGAGTTCAGACTTTGTGAACTCAATTGCCAGCTAATATTTATTTTAATTTAATCCACACATTTCTACAGCAGCCAGACACTAGAAAGGCCACTTTTGGATAAAAGCCAGTTAACCTACCAATGTGATTTCGCATTATGGAAGGGAATAGAAGAATGTCTCCATCAAAGCAGCACATATGAATAACACTCTACAACTCATTTTGTAAGAAATAACCAAATAACATACATTTTTTTAATTTACAGGAGGGAACTTACGAAAACATGTGAAGATCATATGATCTCAAAGTAGAAGATGTCCTCTTGGGAATGGAGTTTAGGGCCCAGATTTCCAGGACCACAGCGTATATCTTCTGAAACCATACTACCATCATATGTAACAAAATGATGAAACATTTTAAGTAGGGATGCACCAATATATATTGTCCGCCAAAACATATAGGCCGAAAACGGCACTTTTGTCAAAATAGTGCAATTTTTGTGCTGATATAGTGGCGCATCTGTTCTTTCTCTCCTCCCCGCTGGGCGCTGCTCCGTCCAAGCGGGGAGGAGAGAAACGTTCACAGGCGGCCAAGCGCTGCGGGAGGAGAGCGCTGTGAGCGGCTGGCGTCTCTCCTCCCACACCTCTCAGGCTCCTGTGACAGATCAGAGGAGAGCGGTGTGTGTGGGCGAAGTCAGCTTACAGTGCTGTCAGCTGTCAGGAAGCAGAGTGAGGTACAAACGCTCAGTGATCAGTGATCGCTGAGTCTTTGTAAATAATTGAGGACATAGTATGGTTACTATATCCTCAATTATGAATGGGAAGTGATCTACATCACCTTCTGTTCATTCATGATTGTGGTTATAGTAAACACACTCTGTCCTCATGTGATAAATGAACAGGAACACTCAATTTAGAGGCTTCCTGTTCATTCACAGGGGCTGCAGAAAAAGAGATTGAGGACTCTGTGTCCTCAATCTCTTTTTCTATTTTAAAAAGGAAATATCAGGGGTCTGTTTAGACCCCTATTTCCCCAAAGCATCTAAAAGTAAGGTAAAAAATATTTAATAAAAATAAATAAAAAGTAACAAAAATTTCAAGTTTATAAAAATGTAAATTTAAAAAAAAGTTAGATAAAAAACATTTTCAGTTTCGGCCCGACATTTTTTTTATTTCGGTTTTAAAATTTTCATTTCGGTGCACCTCTAGTTTTAAGTGTTATTAGTTAACCCAAGGCAAACATGATGTCTGATAAACTGTATCAACTAGCCATTGCTAATATTTAACAATTAGCCATATAAACAAAAAAAAAAGCTGGTTTCTGATGGGAGTTACTATATACGACAGTCCTGTGCCACATAGGGCTAATGTATTAACAAAAAAGAATAGAAAATAAGAAAATGTTTTGTTTTTTTTTTAAACAAAAGTTGCTGACAGGCAGTTTTTTTTTTATAGCAGAAGAGAATGTGAGTCTTTCCACCAAAAAAAGCTTCCAAAAAAGCTCCAACCTGCACGTCATCTATTTCTCCTTCTGTGCACTGAGCCACGACTGTGCAGCTCAGTGTACAGGCTCGGCAAGGTGCTGTGCCGAAATGCAGTGCACATAGCGGGAGTTAGGTTACAAAACTAAAGCAAAAACTAAGTGGTTGCTAAAGGAAGCCTCCACATACCTCCTGTTACTTATGAAAGCACTTAATCCACCCCATTCTACCCATGACTACCAATACATGCATACATGTCTGGCGAAAAAGGGGGCTTGATAGCAATTACATTTTTCAGATCGCTTCATTATATAATATGGTCTTCAGTAAGAAAGGAAAGTTAACCCAAGGACAATATAAAGAGGAAAGGTATGTCCATACGCTTCTAGCACCGTAGGGAGGAAATGTTCACAAGAACATAAAAAATATCTAGAGGTTACCCTTAGAAAACACAGAAATGGAAAAGGGCAGTAAGGACAATGCTAGTTAACAAATGATTGGTACTCAATACAGATGCTTCCGACTCTCCTACAAGATATCATTCAAACACCATTAACTTTAAACAGGATTAATGTCTCTTTGGGAAGAAACTGCAGCAGGCACTTGAAACTTCTCAATCCTCCAAGTTTTAGAAACCCTTCAGTCAAGACTGCATATAGTGCTGGGTACTGAGAGCTTTGTGAATACATGAAATACTGCTG